CTTGTTCCCTAAGGAGTTTGTTAAGGAGCGGTATATATCTTAACGTACTTTTATGATCCCCAACTCAAACATTTCGAATACTTATTTCGAGAACGCTTTGTTGAGAATGGATTCGAGATGTACCCAAAATTAATACGTTAAAATGTGTATTATCATCTTATTAAACACCTCACAAATTATTATAGAAATCAAAGATGTACGACTTTTGAGATTTTTATTTTCGAATGCCAGTGTTGACTTAGTTACTCGACTTGACTGTTTAAACAGAAGTTAAAGTTACCTGCAAATGATATATCCATTGCATGGAGTAGCCTAAGTAATTTTCTTTAGTATAGCAAAACATATGAGTAAAAATAAATTGTGTGGGTTTCTTAGTGTTTCTATGCAAAATAGCACGTTCGTCACAGCGTTTTCGATATCGTCAATGACAACAGAATCTCGGATTTTGAGTAATTTTAAAAGACAACGGCATATGGTAATTACAGTGTCCGTTGTCTCGTACTGATCTCATTTTGATCGGTTAAATTTAGACTTTATTTCGATGGTAGAACATTATTAAAGGTGCAACAATTACTGAGTGCAGGGGGAGCAATTCAACTATCATTGACCAGTGTCAAAATATTGTAACAAATTTTTACTTTTCAAATTTTCGATTCTTTGTAGTCCAGTGCCATTTTATCAGTTTTCTTACAGTTAACTCAGTGAGAAAGCGTTTTTACAGTTTGTTTGACAAGTAGTATACTTACATGGATGTATGTGACACTAAAGGAGTAGGCAGAATCATGTAAACTGTTCGATTTTGTGAGATTTCTTTTTGTTTTCATTTGTTTACATTTTTCTCATCTTACTTTTGAAGAGCTTTCTTGACCTACATTCAATTACTAGTTTTTTCGGTCAATTTTTGCATGATTAAAACCAATGAAGATTGATTTATGTTATATTTATTTAGTTTATACATTTATCTCGTTAATTATATACTAAACATGTATTAATTTTACATTAGATAGCACAGATTGTGATATCTAAATGAAGCCAGTTATTTTGCACTATTCACATCCTGATTGCATCATAGTAATTGTACACCAGTCTTGTCCTGTCCAGGGGCCTAGGTATTGCATCAGCCCATGTGCTGATCATGAGTGAATACAGGAGTGTATACCTGTCTGGGGTATAAATAGAGACGACCATGTGACTCAGCAGGCACTTTCTAGCTGGAACTGAGAGAGGACAGACCCGCGTGCCTCCAGGGATTGACGCTTGATGGACTTAGGCTAATTCTACACATATATTGATGGACTTAGAAGATTTTCATCCCACATACCATGGTATACTTAGAGGATCTTAGGCAGATTCGACATACCCGTTGAGGGACTTAGGGGATATAAACTTAAGGGACTTAGCCAATATTCACCATAGTTGCCTGGAGTTTGATGCCCAGAGGAACTTAAGGAATATTCACGCATATATTGAGGGACTTAGCCAATATTCACCAAAGTCGCCTGGAGTTTGATGCCCAGAGGAACTTAAGGAATATTCACGCATATATTGAGGGACTAAGCCAATATTCATCAAAGTTGCCTGAAGTTTGATAGACTTAGAATATATCTTCAACTTGATGGACTTAGAATATTCATCACTAATCTGAAGAACTTAGCAGATTCCATACATCTTCAGTTTGATAGACTTAGAATATCCACAGCTCATTTGGTGAACTTAGATTATATCTTCAACTTGGTGGACTTAGAATATTCATCGCTAATCTGAAGAACTTAGCAGATTCCATACTTCTTCAGTTTGATAGACTTAGAATATTTCTACAGTTTGATAGACTTAGAATATTCATAGCTGGCTAGAGGAACTTAGTAGATTCCCTACATCTACAACTTGATGAAGTTAGAATATTACCAGCTTGAGGGACTTAGAATATTCATCGCTGGCTAGAAGAACTTAGTAGATTTCCTACATCTACAACTTGATGAAGTTAAAATATTACCAGCTTGAGGGACTTAGAATATTCATCGCTGGCTAGAGAGACTTTGTAGATTTCACACATCCATAACTTGATGGACTTAGAATATTACCAGCTTGAGGGACTCATCGCTGGCTAGAAGAACTTAGTAGATTTCCTACATCTACAACTTGATGAAGTTAGAATATTACCAGCTTGAGGGACTTAAAATATTCATCGCTAGCTAGAGAGACTCTGTAGATTTCACACATCCATAACTTGATAGACTTAGAATATTACCAGCTTGAGGGACTTAGAATATTCATCGCTGGCTAGAAGAACTTAGTAGATTTCCTACATCTACAACTTGATGAAGGTAGAATATTACCAGCTTGAGGGACTTAGAATATTCATCGCTGGCTAGAGGAACTTAGTAGATTTCACACATCTACAACTTGATGAAGTTAGAATATTACCAGCTTGAGGGACTTAGAATATTCATCCCTGGCTAGAAGAACTTAGTAGATTTCCAACATCTACAACTTGATGAAGTTAGAATATATCCAGCTTGAGGGACTTACAATATTCATCTCTGGCTAGAGGAACTTAGTAGATTTCTTACATCTACAACTTGATGAAGTTAGAATATTACCAGTTTGAGGGACTTAGAATATCCATCGCTGGCTAGAGAGACTGTAGATTTCACACATCCATAACTTGATGGACTTAGAATATTCATCGCTGGCTAGAAGAACTTTGTAGATTTCACCCATCCATAACTTGATGGACTTAGAATATTACCAGCTTGAGGGACTTAGAATATTCATCGCTGGCTAGAAGAACTTAGTAGATTTCCTACATCTACAACTTGATGAAGTTAAAATATTACCAGCTTGAGGGACTTAGAATATTCATCGCTGGCTAGAGGAACTTAGTAGATTTCTTACATCTACAACTTGATGAAGTTAGAATATTACCAGCTTGAGGGACTTAGAATATTCATCGCTGGCTAGAGAGAGACTGTAGATTTCACACATCCATAACTTGATGGACTTAGAATATTACCAGCTTGAGGGACTTAGAATATTCATTGCTGGCTCGAGGAACTTAGTAGATTTCCTACATGTACTATTACCAGCTTGAGGGACTTAGAATATTTATCACTGGCTAGAAGAACTTAGTAGATTTCCTACATCTACAACTTGATGAAGTTAGAATATTACCAGCTTGAGGGACTTTGATTATTCATCGCTAGCTAGAGAGACTTTGTAGATTCCACACATCCATAACTTGATGGACTTAGAATATTACCAGCTTGAGGGACTTAGAATATTCATCGCTGGCTAGAAGAACTTTGTAGATTTCACCCATCCATAACTTGATGGACTTAGAATATTACCAGCTTGAGGGACTTAGAATATTCATCGCTGGCTAGAAGAACTTAGTAGATTTCCTACGTCTACAACTTGATGAAGTTAGAATATTACCAGCTTGAGGGACTAAGAATATTCATCGCTGGCTAGAGGAACTTAGTAGATTTCTTACATCTACAACTTGATGAAGTTAGAATATTACCAGCTTGAGGGACTTAGAATATTCATCGCTGGCTAGAGAGACTGTAGATTTCACACATCCATAACTTGATGGACTTAGAATATTACCAGCTTGAGGGACTTAGAATATCCATCGCTGGCTCGAGGAACTAAGTAGATTTCCTACATCTACAACTTAATGAAGTTAAAATATTACCAGCTTGAGGGACTTAGAATATTCATCGCTGGCTTGAAGAACCTAGTAGATTTCCTACATTTACAACTTGATGAAGTTAGAATATTACCAGCTTGAGGGACTTAGAATATTCATCGGTAGCTAGAGAGACTTTGTAGATTTCACACATCCATAACTTGATGGACTTAGAATATTACCAGCTTGAGGGACTTAGAATATTTCCAGCTTAAGGGACTTAGGATATTCATTGCTCATCTGAAGAACAGGAGAATTCCATGCAACTTCAGTAAGAGGACTTAGGAGATATGTGCATATATGCGGAACACTGTTCAGGACAAGACAATAAACATTTGTGATAGACACTTTACTATAAATATACAAGTAGTTTTGCATAAAGGACTTTGATAACAGCATCTCTGAAACTTAGTATTAACTATCGATTTATATTGTATTATTTTGAGGCGGAAGAAGCCAGAATATATGTTGTTAATTTTATATCAAATATTGTGTCTCTTTTTATTCATGCATACATTTAACGTGTACCAAGTATTCTACGAAGTAACCTGGTCTGATTAATAACAACATCCACACTACCAAAAATTAGGCCAGACGTTACAATATATTTAAGTTTGGATATTTCATCAAGACTAACATATTTTATTATCTACAAAGAAACCCCTTGGATGAACATTATTTCAGCTGATATTCCTCTTGAAACGTGGTGAATCTTAAAAATCCATAAGTGGGACTCCCTTTATAGAAGCTTTGAACTGCTTAATACTAAATTGAGAGTTTATCCATACATTTTAAGAAAATAGGTATGTCAAAGAAGATGTAAGCCAAATAGCCTATTGACCTGATAGCTCAGAAAAAATTCGAATTTTCTCTCTACAGTCCTTGTTGCCCCTTTAACTGTTCAATGAGTAGACACTTTGATTGATTGTTGTTCCAAAGGAATTTGGTCTAAGTGCTCCTTTAAACATACAGTTCATGAAAATCTAATTGAAGCGACGGTTATATCCGCCATTTGTGACAACGCACTGGCGGATCTGGGGGGGGGGGGGCTTGGGGCATTTAAGGCCTTACTGCTTAAGGCCCCAAAAATTGGACCTTTTTGGTCATAACTGGGCCTTATAAGGCCTTATTTTTTAATTTCAGTTCGGTTTTAGGGGCCCAAAATTTTTTTTCACGCAAGTGCGGAAGTTTTTTTCTCTGACCTGAGATTTAACCCTCCCCCTTTGTTGGTTCTCAGATCCGCCCCTGCAACGGTATCTGAGTCTGGGATTATCTGACTTTACCTTTGTCAGGCTATTCCGGGGTGATTCAGAAACTCAGCGCGTTCGCAAAAAGAACGTGAGAGTGACGTCATTTTCCGGGAACTGTAAAAGCAAGGTAAAAGTTTTTTCTTCTACTTTATATCTTCTTGCCTGTAGCCAGCTTTTACCAGGAGGGAGAGCTTTTTTCCAGGGGGATGGGGGAGCTTTTTGACAATTTTGGCAAAAAATCATGCGAAAAATTCTCAGAATGGTGAAAAACTGCATGGTTTGAAAAAACTTCTGGCCAGAGGGGGGGAGCTTCCGCCCCCAGCTCCCCCTCTAGCTTCGGGCCTGACCTTTATACCTTTAAACCAATAGTTCTGAATGAAGAATATTTCTTATATGATCCAGCTCTTTATGTGTTTTGTGTCTTATTAATTAAGTGGGGGGGGGGTAGTTAATGCTCACTGGACATGGGTTTAGAGAATCAAATATGATTTTGTAACGACCCTAAGATTTTCGACATCTAAAATGTCACTTGACTTTTTTGTGAATTTGAATCACAGAAAGCATTCTGAAGTTTCAAATTGGCGCCACATTTAATTTTTGGCATCGGTAATAATGAAAACACGCGCTACGCCCTAACGCGCTGGCGCACTAACGCCCTGTTCAGAATGATCGATCCCCTAGGCCAGGGAACATGTATGTAAATCGAGACGAATATATATGGTAACGCTTACTTTGCGAAGAGTATCGCTTGTCGTGTTTTATCTGATTTTAAAGGAAGATGAAATAAAAAGTAGCAACTTACAGGATGAATGGTCGCAGATATGCGAATATGCTCACTATTTCATGGCGTTATTGAAGAGTCTGTGAGAAAAATCCCGTTTCGAAATCTGAGGGCCCCCGTCTGAAATAACTTGACTAATGACTTCATAATGTATATTTTTCGCATATCTCCACTTAATTTCAAGTCTAATGTTTTATATATCTTTATCCTCTATATTTTTTGAAGTTATATGACTTACATGTTATTAGCAGTAGGCTTCGCATTTATATTTTCTTTTCGTGTCCAGTTGTGGCGCTCTTTCGCTTTCATGGAGGGGGGTGTATAGGGATATCGTATATCGTAATGAGTGAACATTTATTTATATTGCATAAGAGAGGCCAACATTTACCGTATATGGTATCGTATAAGTTAAATAAGTTAAATATATGTTTTAAAGAATTAAAACCAGCCCAACATATATTGGGGTAATCCAGGTTTTTGATGGATGTTTTAAAACATTAGATTGTCCCAATCGGAGTTCTAGCACCTGGAATCGAGAACTCCAGATGTACAAGCCACCCTATAGAGACAGTTGGTGATGTATGTAGGCCTACAATGAAGGAAATCAAAATTCAAAAAAGTTTTGGCCGTGTGGGGTCCCCCCGACCCCCCCCCCCATCGTAAATGGTTACATGGTATTTCACCTGGACTTTTCGTAAAATATGGTAGTATAAGAGATGTGAGAAATATTGTAGTCATTGCATGTTATAAAAGGGGTGAAACCCCCCCCCCATCGTAAATGGTTACATGGTATTTCACCTGGACTTTTCGTAAAATATGGTAGTATAAGAGATGTGAGAAATATTGTAGTCATTGTATGTTACAAAAGGGGTTAAAAAACTGTACATGGTATAAAATGGGTGAAAATATACCATATGGATTTCCAAGACCCCCTATAAACCCCCCTTTCATGTTTGCTTTCGTATTTTCTCAATTTGTTTAATCAGATTTAGTTTGGAATTACGGCTGTCCCGGGAATAATATTTTATCAGGAATATTGTTAAAGGAGGATTATCTTTGGAACTATAGTTTTTTTAATTAGAGACGATTTGAAAAGTAACTGTAAACCAGCGTGTTTCATAATTGCCCGATAATCGTTCAAGTACATGTTCATTTTAGTTTTGGATTATTTCCTGAATTAAAGTTGAATTCAGTTTTGTAACGGTGTTTAGAACATTTCAATTGGTCTTATATTTCTAGAGAAATCGTAACTAGAAGAGTGCAATTTGGCCGCAAAGGCCACAAAGTTCACATCTTTGAAGTTTGATTGACAGGTTAGCGGTAATTTATAAAGCCTTTGAAGTATGAATGTCTTGACAAATTCCCAGGCAATGTCCTAACCGTAATTATACATGTCCCTGGGCCTATGATATAGACCAATCATAAACATGCGCTTAAAACATGTGCCCACTTCGTGGGGGAAGGATCATTTTCTATTAGCGCATTGGCGCGTGGCGCGTTAGCGCGTAGCGCGTGTTTTCATTATAACCTTTGGCATCCGCCTAATGTATAGGTAGAGGAGATAGGGGTAATCTCGGACATGGGGCATTGTCGGACGATCTTCAATAATTCTTTGTTTTATATGGTTTCTTTATTGAAACTTTGTATTAGACACATCATATTTATAGATGTGGTCCCTTAAGAAAAAAGCCATGGTAACCATGGTATTTCATGGTGCGTCCATGGTAATCCATGGTTTTCCATGGAAATTCATGGTTTTTCATGGTATTTTCCATGGAAATTCATGGATACCCATGGTAATCTTCCATGGATATTTACCATGATTTTCCGTGGTAATTGGTGGTTTGGTAATTGTTTTTTCATGAACATGCCATGTTTTTACCATGGCACTTGAGTTGTAAAATCAACAATTTTGGCAGGTTTTGTTTTTACCAAAATCTTCAAAATTGAATCAATATTTTAACGAATGAATCCAAGCTGGATTGAGAATTAGTCTCATTAATCATAGATAAAAGAATATGACACCCCCCCCACCCCAAAATCTTTGAGAAAGTCAACCTTCTTGACAAAAGCTGGTTTCAGGCCTGAAATACAACCATGTTTTTACAATCTGAATATATGTTTAGTACATTCTGTACATAGTGTCATATGACAAAGAACTGTTAACTTTATATTTTTTTAATTGATGATTTGACCCCACAATTAAAAGTAATAATTTGTTTGCTGGGATTTGCTATCATTTAACTTTGGCACTTATGTAAAAAAAGACAAAATAAGTGATAAAATCAGCTCACTGGTTCCCTTATTGCAGACTGAATAAACATTTTTACTTGGAGTAAATCCTATTTGGTTTTATTTGATCAACAATGAGTTTTTGACATGCACTGTCTACACTCACAGACAATAATAATAACTGAAGAGGGAGCATTAGAAAGAGTAAGATTATCATATATAATAACAATTAAGATCAGAATATTTAAGAATTATGCAAATGAACTCTTATAATCTGTTGTAAAGAGATTAATCTTTTGACATTAATTTGAGAGTTAAGACACCTAATTAACATAGAATAATGGCAACCAAATATTTAAAAATTATGCAAATGATTATTTATTCCTATTCAAAGACAAATCAATTTTAATTACTTATACTATGTTTCATGTTTTAAGCCAAATGGTGTTGTTAACCCCCTCCCCTTCCTTCATGCAACTTCTTTTTAAATATAATATTCTTACATAGACAAATTGAATTTTTATCACTTAGGTATAACATTTCAGTTTGCAGCCATAGGCTTGTGTTTAATCCCCCATCTCAATTTCAAGTCAAAATTCTGTAAAAGTATATACTTTTCTGTGGATTTTTTCAGATAATATGCTTATAAAAGTTGAATGGGACTTAATTTGGAGAAGTTCATTTAGAAACATAATGTATTATTCATTTTTCTGCTTCCAAAAGACCAAACAAATAGCCCATGGAAAACCATGGACTTTCAAAAGATCAAAAGAATAATCATGGAAAACCATGGCTTTTGATTGCACTTTCCAAAACATCAGAGAAATAACCATGGAAAAGCATGGCTTTCGATTGCAATCAACCGTCTTCCATGGCTTTTGATTGCAGTTTTCTCAACTTCAAAGAAAGAAACCATGGTTTTTGATTGTATTCTCAAATGTACGAAATGTAATTTAAGAAAATGAGTTATTTATTTCTTAAATTACTTCATATTGATTTTTAAAACTGAAAATTAAAGAAAGTATTGAAATAAAACAGAGCTTGGGCTAGTTTGACTTAATCTTTTTCAAAGGAAAGAAGTGTTTGGCCTAAAAAATAAGCAATCTCTATCTAGTCTTGATCTACACAAAAGACCTTTGCACAATTGTTTTTGAAATCTTGTGGCCTACTCTCTGCTCTGCTGTTTCACATATTTTCTCATTTGTAAGCTGAGTCTAACATTCGATGAATGTTCTTGCTATACCTTCAAAATGAAATGTCCACCCTTTTTTCTCAATGATAAGTCTCAGTCTAACTGGGATATATCATCAAAATATTCATTTTGGAGATTTTGGTAAATACAAATCCTACCAAAATTGTTGATTTTACATCTCCATGACACATCCATTAAAAACCAATTACCAAACCAACAATTACCACGGAAAATCATGGTAAATATCCATGGAAGAATACCATGGGCGTCCATGAATTTCCATGGAAAATAACATGGAAAACCATGAATTTCCATGGAAAACCATGGATTACCATGGGCGCACCATGGAATACCATGGTTACCATGGCTTTTTTCTTAAGGGGTGCTATATATTGTAAAAATTCTAACTTTGTCCCAGATTTGCACCTGATACCAAGGGTTTGTCCGGGAATGCCCCGTGGCCGAGAATACCCCTATCTCCTCTAGCCTAGATCTACCACTTACCTTTTATTGATTCTTTCATAAGTTTCGTCATAAACTCAGTTTGACCAGAAGGAGAGTCAGTACGTCTATTTCCAAACACCCCCATCAAAAAATGTAGTTAGCTTGGCTGTACTGCACATCTATGCTATGATTCTATATATATTATGTGTATTATCCACTGTAGAATGCATTTGCAGAAAAAATTACGAAAAATTGTAAAAAATATCTGGGTTATTCCATTTTTACTACAAGGTATTTTAGGGGGGTAATTCCGAACAGGAGTTTTTTTTTGGGGGGGGGGGGGGGTAAATCCGAACACTTGCATGGGGGTAATTCCAAACACTTAACTTAAACTTAATTGTTTTAATTATTAGATTGATGGTATATCATTATATTGTAGAGCTCTGGTCGAAATGGAATCTGATGTCGACATGTCAAAGCCCAAGGTCGACGACAGTATCGACTGTCGGAATTAAATCTCCCAGCAAAAATCGGCAAAGAAAAAATCAAAAATAGTTCACACCCGGGAATTTCGCGTCATAATTATTCCTCCGCTAGAGGCGCTGCGAGCGCGCGGCCATTTTGCCAGTCAATTCGGGTCAACTATTGTCCAACTTTACACACGTAGTAGTTGATGATGCCCTTTAACGTATGTTATGATTTGTATATAAAGCTTACTTGTATCCGGATTAATATATTTTTATCCTGTGCAGTTTAAACAATTCGTTTTCTTCCAACTCTATAAGGAATAACATCATATTTTTTTCGAAAATCAGCAGTAAACTTGACACTAGTTAGCTATTTTTTCTCTAATTGTAATTTGAATTTTAAAATTCCGCCTCGGACAAGACACAATTTGTATATTTAGCTCAAACGTGTTTCAAATTTCATAAAGATTCATCCATAAATGAAGAAATGCCACCGGCGCAAAAAATGTTGTGTTTTCGTCAAATCTTTGCTGACGATGCGGTTTTTAGTTTACAAAGAAATTGCCCCTTCATAGTGAAGCTGTAACTTTACTAATATTGAACCTATCAACTTGAAATAAACAGGATCAAAATAAGCAATTCTTTAGAAACACGATGATATGTATCATGCCTATTTAACAATATATATTATGAAAGAAAATCATAGTTTAAAACACCTATCTGAATAGAAAATTTCATTGCAAACATGAAAAAATGACGGGTTGTACTTATACGTCCGCGCGATGTTTATACACGTTGCATAGGACGTTGCTATGCACAACAGCGCACCAAGCGGAGGAATAATTATGACGCGAAATTCCCGTGTGTGTTAACTTAGATTTTACTTCCGGTAAAAAATGAGCATACATTGTCTATCCCGACCCCTCGCATGTACTGTATATTGATATTATAGATTAATATGCATATACGTATGTATGTTAGAGATCGAGAAGTAAATAAACAAACGAACCTCCATTGTTATTGTTCTGCTACTTACACTTCCGGTGGATCCGGCTCGTCCCGTTGCAGCACTTCGTATAGCCCAGTAGCCATGCAGGGCCTTAATTGTGTTTGAAGTTTCGAAATAAAATATCTCTGGGGAGTAATCTTTAACACGGATTGTAATTCTAGTTAAAACTTTGTAAGAATATCAACGAAATTGAATAAAATGACTTACCGTTCCGATCAGAACGACATCGACCTACAGACGACTTCTCGAGATCGAAAACGAGACGAGATGTGAAACGAGAATATAAAAATGGGGGAAAAACACAATATTTAAATCCGCTGTAAATTCTGTTTAATGCAACCATTATCTCAACAAGAGTGATAAAAGTATGTTGGGAAATTAAGGTATGTATGTTCTTTGTTTATCATCGTATTATTTCTATGTCGTTCTATGTCGACCTTGGACGCTTATGTTGATGTCGAAGTGACATTTCGATCGCCAATCGACGATTCCGACAAATGATCAGAGCTCTATACCCTTAACTTATGATACTGGATCCTGTCACCCCTGCATATCAAGAAACCCAAATTTAAATCATTTATTACTGACATCTATTTATTTAAACGCACAGAGTTTGTGGGGGTAATTCCAAACACTAGCATGGGGGTAATTCCGAACACCTAAATCATCATAATTGATTATTTTATTGTAAGATTGTTGGTATACATCATTATATTGTATCTTTCAGGCTATAAATATTATATAGAGGTAGTAGAGGTACTACTATTCAATTCAATGATCTGCTTGCCATTATTTGGAACCCGTTCGTGTTTACCCCCCTGTTTGGATTTGGACGTATTGACTCTATCTTTGTTGCCACTCGATTCTTTTAAAAAAAATGTCGCTTTTTTAATCACCCGGATGTGCGGTTTACTTGGACTCGCCCAAAACGAGGGGTGTCAAACGCAAGATGGTAGAGATGCAGGTATGTTGCCACTCTCAGAGAATCTATTCCATAATTTCAACATTACTACGAGGTTTTACAAGCGAAAAGTATAAAGGCAGGTTGTATATAGGACTGGACAAGATGAAAATAAATATTCTAAATAGATGACACCCCTTTCGAAATAAGATGAACTGAACCTATCACGTCACCTAAGAAAACAAAATCTCCAGAGAGAATTTTCGCTTGAAATGTTGAAAAGCAAGCCCAGTTTTCTATGGGAATATACGGTAATTAATAGTTACGTGTACAATATTACTGAGTTAGATGGTGCATAAGTTAGGCGTTGGATCATTTTGTAAGTACGACAATGTGAATTCATGTGACTGTTACTTTTTGGAAGGTTTTTTGCAAAAAAGTCGAGTGACATTTTAGATGTCGAAAATCTTAGTCCAACAACATTTAGACAGTTCAAGATGTCTCTAGTCCTACTAGGGACATCTCGCATACCATTGAATAGATTGTCGCAGAATTCGGCACTCATAAATGTTAAAATTATGATGTTAGTTGGAGACATACCCTTTATTTGACCAGCCCACTTCTTTCTTTTCTCATTTAGAGGCCCGTAAGACACTTTTCTTCATGTCTGATTAATTCTGAGCACTTTTAATGTGTTTGAGTAAATGAATGCCTTAGTTTTTGGGGTGGGGTACCAGAAATTTTTATGATTTCATTATGTCACTTGGTGACTGTTTAACTCATTCCTTACGGTTACGTTGAAAATCGATCACCGGTGATCGATGGTTATTTGAGCGCTATTGTGGTGTATATCCGAAGTTGTCCACATCACTTATGTTATAAATCAATAAAAAATATATTACTAAACATATACAGACTATTGTTGTTGTTTTTTATTACTTACCGACGGAGAAATCGAGCAAATTATGCGAGTTTCAAAAAGTTTTCATTTTTGAAGACAATTCTGCCCGATGACGTAATTTCCCATGATTCATCGGCAGTTTCCAAAATAAACAATATGGCGGGAAGACCTCGCAGATCAGCTGCTCAAAGAGCAAGGGATTTGTTTGTAAATGGGTTTGAGCTTGAGTCTGACAGTGAAGATGATATCCAACTACAACCTGGTGATGTCGATGAAAGGGCATCAGACTCTGATAGTGGTGAAAACAGGTGCGTATCTTGACTAAAACTTTTCGAATTTTTTTTTCAAAAATTATAATTTTATTTTCATATTTTTATACCATAGAAATCCTGTTAAGAGTGAGATATAAATGATCATTATACACGATATATGACTTAATATGCTCCTTGAATCAACAACAGACCTAATTTAGTAAAATTGCAAAATTATCAGTCATTTTCTGGAAAACGAAGTTTGGCCTTGTCATTTTTAAGTGGGCGATAATATGTGAAATCTTTCGGGTTGTCATTGTTTTCAGATATTTTACAGCTATTTACCGGGATATTTGAAGTAGATCCTTATTAACAAAATTTACTGCATATTTTCTCACATGTACACACTTTGTTATTTGCACCCAGGTGTCACATTTCACATTGTTTGGAGGGGGGGGGGGGTTGAATTTATACTTTTACTTGCCCATTCCCTAGTTTACAATTTTATTTTATATTCTTCCAGTGATGATAGTATGGATGTGTTTGATGGTGATCAAGAGGTTCCTCAGGCAGGTGGTGGTCTCCAATCGTATGACGATGCAGATGAACTACCACATGTGATGCAATTTAGGCCAATCCGCCCCCCTGGTATGCAATTCAGGGCAATGACGCAAAGAGAAATATCAGAACATTCAACTCCGTTGGCTTTCTTTAAGATGTTTTTCAGTGAAGAGGTTTTCCAGAAGCTTGTCGATAACACTAACATATATGCATGGCTAAACGTTATGACTAAGCCTACATATCAAAATAAAGATGGGTCGTGGGAGGATGTAACAGTAGCGGAGATGGAGCATTTTGTTGCGCTTATAATATATATGGGCTTTGTGGATGTGTCAACTCTGAGCCGGTATTGGAGCACCAAGCCTTTGTATAATGGCCTTTGGGCCAGAAGATTCCTACCCAGAGACCGATTTACAGCAATGTGCGGAATGCTGCACATATCAGATCCAGGACACGAGGATCCAAATGATAAACTTACCAAGGTCAGATGGCTGGTAGATCAAATTAAACAGGTTTCTACAACAGTCTATCAATCTGATATCAACATTTCAATAGATGAAAGGATGGTAAAATCTAAACACCGCAGTGGGATGAGGCAGTACATCCGCGACAAACCGTGTAAATTTGGATTGAAATTGTTTGTCCTTGCCGAATCTAAATCAGGATATACCATTGACTTTAACATATACACAGGGAAACAGAATGAGATTACAGAGCATGGCCTACCCTATGATGTTGTCATACTCCTTTTAGACAATCTGTTAGATCAGGGGTACCATGTCTATTTTGACAACTACTATACGTCGCCATCACTACTAAACACCCTATTAGAGAGGAATACATATGCATGTGGCACAATAAGGTCTAACAGGAAGGGTATCCCTGACATGATCAAGGAGAAGTGGCAGAAACCTGAAAGAGGTAATTTATTTATTCTTTACTGTATAACCAGAAATAATTTTGTCTCAGCTCAGTGGACATTGCTTTGGGTTACAAGAAATATATGTGCAAAATTAAATCACCTCATTGATTTAAAATATTTATCAGAGAAAATATATTCCTGGTTCCATAAATAATGTTCACTCATAGTTTAAACTAGGTTATATTACCTAATTAATTTGATAATAACACATACTTGCCTAGTGTTTTATTTAGATAAATATTTCTAACAAGTTATTATATTTTAATTTCTTGTTTTCTTATTTGTTGCAGATTGCAAACGCATATAGTTTATTTAAGTTCTGTTATGCTGTTATGATATGAAAGGAGTAATATACTCCTGGTTAGCAGGTTAGTTTATATCAGCTGAGTTAAAATACATTGTTAGAATAAACATGTACATGTAGGCAGATAAAATATTCATTCTTCATGTTACTAGTATTTCTAGAAAAATCGATAATTTCCCAGTTATTATTATATCGAACATATTTCAACCAAATATCTTAAATGCATAATCAATATTAAGAAAATATGCTTTAAAACATTGTAATTAATTCCATAAACAATATACTCGTATATATACAAGGACCAGTATCTTAATTCTGGTACAAGTTGCTTGTAAAGTAAAGTTTGCATCATTGAAACTGGTATTGGGTTCTGTATGCATAAATACAGAGTGAATAGTGATTTGAACTGCTACATTGTATTTTCTCTAGATTTGAACCATAAAAATGTAAACCCTTTTTCTATTGTTTCAGGTAACATGAGATGCACACGAGACCATCACATTGCTTTTCTACAATGGTGTGACAACAAAGAAGTTCTGTTAGCATCAACCATGCATGTGACCAATACATATGACTTTGTGAGGTGAGATGTAGTTTTTTTTCATTGATTTAGAAGTGCCATCATAGCTTTTCACTATTAATCTTTTTCTTGTACAAAATATCTCTAAAAACAGATTATTAGTACATGCAATATTAAATGGTCAATAATAACAACAATACATAATGTTCCTATAAACAATATTAGTTTTACTGGATTTAAGAATATCATTCCTTCGCAATTCCACTAAAATTATGTATAAAATTTTTAAAAATACATGTATGGATTTATTCAATTTTAGGAGACGTGTCAAGGTGAATAATGAGTGGACACTTCGCGTAGTAAGACGCCCTATAATGGTTGCTGACTATAACAAGCATATGGGAGGAGTGGATCGATCAGATCAGATGATTGCAGAGTGAGCATAACCTTCAATTAATTATCTTAAAAAAACAATTATATTAAGTAAAAATCTAAAAGATATACCATGTGACCCTAGATTTAGAAGTTCAAGTAATTGCTGCATTACTTCACTTTAGGCCACTGTAAAATGAAATATGTTTTGCAGGTACATAGTGTTTTTTCTTTGCAAAGAATCATTACTAATGTGCTTTTCTTTACCATTTACAGATACAATGTCTTGATGAATGTGAAGAAGTGGTGGAAAGTGATCTTCTTTCATATGATCGACATAAGTGTGGTGAACAGCTTCATAATGTTTCAGGCCTTCCGTGGCCAGCATCCTGATGTTGCCTGTTTGCAGAGAAACAAAGGTAGATGTAAATATCAAATATACAAAATTAAAGTATTCTACAGTAATCTCCCAAGATGAATTGTTGTTACATGTGCTAGAATAAAGTATAAATCATCATTTTTATAATGCAGGGAAGTTAATATCAAAATTTTTAGTTTTAATTTTTAAATTTTTGAATAGGGCGGTAAGCAGGGTGGGAATGTTCAACAGGATGGGTGCAGGGTACTAGCATTGAGTGAGCAGAGTGTGGTACCATACAGTTAGGCCCTGGGGGGATCACTGTGGAGCTAACTAACTATACATTTTACAATAACACTATACAATTACTATCTGTACTAAATATTTTGGGAAATTAATGATCGAAGTATTAACTCCTTGGTGTAAATTGTAATAGTTAAATGTTAGCTTATTCATTTGGATTATCTTTACTTCATGTTTGAAGGGTCTCTGTTTCCAGATTGTCATAATTAATTTGTTATTCATCAAGTATTGTGCATTTTTTCAAAATATATATGTACTAGACTACATTGTATATGAGCACTGTTTGTAAACTTGTTTTGTAGATTACAGTCAGCTGGAATTCCGTGAGGAGTTGGTAAAGCAACTTGGTGGCATTGCTGATTTTGAACCCGTACCGTTGGCCAAGAATTTTCCAGCCACTCCAAACTTTGCAACGGAACACATCCCTCAGCATCACAACCTCCGTCGTAATTGCACTGTGTGCTATAAAGTGACAGGCATGGAAAAGAAGACGAACTGGGAATGCTCAAGTGACAATTGTGTTGGAAAGAGATTCTGTCTAGTTGCAGAGAGGAACTGTTTTCAACGTTGGCATTCTGCCGAATTCAATAACAATAGATAAGGATCACTGACTGCCCAGAATACAGTACATGTAGAGCACATCTATACAGTTATCAGGTTATACTGTAATGAGTGGTATGTGTTGTCTACAGGTATAATGATAAAGTTGATGGATGCTACCTTATATGACTTACAGTTGCATTACTTATTCATTGATACTTGAAGTTGAAACCGAGTGATTTTTTCTATTTTTCATCAATTTTACCCTAAATTGGGTAAAAACAGGCATCTTTGTGATATTCTCATTCATTTAATCTTACCCCATATGCATAATACTAGGTATTTTCTGAAAGCTTACTGCCAATACTTTAAAACTATGTTAAAATATGTGTGTACCAATCAACAGTACTCGCCTGACAGGTGGTTAAAGGTAAAAGTAAGTGCGTTTTTAACAAGAAAATAATGGCGGCCATCTTGGATTATGATGTCATAGACCATGTGACCTCATTTGCATATTTTATTTTATTACTGTACTGAGTGGTATGTGTAGTCTACAGGAATAATAATAAAGTTGATGGATGCTACCTTATATGACTTACAGTTGCATTACTTATTCATCGATACTTAAAGTTGAAATCGAGTAATTTTGGCTATTTTTCATCAATTTTACCCTAAATCGGGTAAAAACAGGCATCTTTGTGATATTCTCATTCATTTAATCTTACCCCATATGCATAATACTAGGTATTTTCTGAAAGCTTACTTCCTATACTTTAAAACTATGTTAGAATATGTGTGTACCAATCAACAGTACTCGCCTGACAGGTGGTTAAAGGTAAAAGTAAGTGCTTTTTTAACAAGAAAATAATGGCGGCCATCTTGAATTATGACGTCATAGACCATGTGACCTCATTTGCATATTTTATTTTTCAAACTTAAATCATTCCAGGACATCATAGCTTTAAAATGATGTATCATACATGAGGCAAAACATATTATTGTTTGTTATAGAAAATGAGCAATTAAGATTTTATGCAAATATTCAATATTTCTTTAAAACCCCATAGTAAGGAATGAGTTAAGTGTCCAAACTGTCCAATTGTTTAGTTTTGGGTATGAGGAGTGGCCTACTCTCCGTAGAAAATTTTACACTTTTTAGATGCTATTTGGTGCTTTCTGGGCACTTTCAAAGTGTATAAATCAATAAAAAATGGGAATTCTTTTGGGGTGTCAAAGAGGATGAGAGCGTGAAGTGTGGGGTGCCAGAAGTGGACCAAGTGGTTGTCCCCCAGAAACATTGACCTATTTGATGATGTCTGGGCACTTGTCTGAGACAATATGTGAAATTCAGAACTTTTTCAATTCTTTTGTAGGGGATTTGAGGGATGGCCACTCTCCAAGAAAATTTTACAATTTTAAGATGATATTTGGTGCTAGTGTATGAGTCAATAAAAAATTTGAAAAATAATTGTTTTTCGCAATTTTTGAGGGTTGTCTAAGGGGGAGGGGGGATGCCAGAGGGGGAGGTTTGGTTGAATTTTTGATTTTTCTATATTTATTTCTAGTCTCCATTTGAGGCAATATTTGTTGAGTTTGTCTAGGTTTTGTTGCATTTCATCATAGTCTGTTGAGAATATCACCAAATCATCAGCATACAAAAGAGAGTTGATCATCTTCTCGTTGTTGATTTTAAAACCATGTGTGGTATTAGTTATCCCATCGAACGAAGTTCGGAGGGATATAGGGAACGCCTCCGTCCGTCCGTCCGTACGTACGTCCGTCCGTCCGTCCGTACGTCCGTACGTCCGTCCGTCCGGGCAATAACTCAAATACCGTTGGGCCGATTTTGTTCAT